CTGTGTTATCACCATGCACGAAGGACTCTGAACAACTTGACAGGTAAAACAAACAATTTGAAAGCTTTGGCACGAGTCATCTGTAACTATCACGCAGCCTGAGTGGATGTTTCTATTCACACTGGGTGCTGTCATCAGCTTTTTCACACTTTCACACGCATGCAGCTGAAACGCGGCACATGTGAGTTCATGACTGAGAGCAGACTAAGCATCACAAAGTCAACCACAAATGAGATATCAAGCGCTCTGAAGGCATTTCCAGTCATGAAATTGCAAAATGACTGAAGTGAGGGAATGTTTTGTGAAATTAAAATGTCATTTATCAAGTGTGAATTTTCATCTACCGCCAGAAAACAGACATAAACTCTCTTTTCAAGTAGGAAACTCCTATCTACTGTGGCCATGTAAATGAAGCAGTAAATCCTCCCCGCACTTTTTCCACCATTCACCAGCCAAAAACTCCATGCACGTCTTCCTCTCCTTCTCCACGCTCCACCTGTTATATACAACCATCCCTCCATCAGTCCCCCCTGTCTCCCTCCTGACAGTGAGGTGATTAGGAGGCGAGAGCGCAGACCTTCTGAAAAAGCAGCTTAGCTGTAATTATCGTCTCGGAAAGAAACAAACATCATCAGAGCCTTCCTCCGCAGACTTAACAACTGTTGCCAGGATATTTCAAATGCTGGACAACCAGCCGTTGCCTAGGTTACCTTTGTCTCTGTGTGGCTGGGTGCCCTGTACAGATGACAGTTTTTTTTTCTTCTTCAGAAATGTCAGCATGGTATAACATGAAACACCAAAACATATTAATATAAACAAACACACATGCACACTCACACCATCACCTACACGCTCAGATGTTGGCCAACATCCATTCAGACAGAGTGACAGGAAATGCTGTATGTTCAGGGAGAGAAAAGAGGATGATATGCCATGATGATGATTTCAAACCAAAACATCACAGTTGCATGTTAGAGTACATACATACTGCCGGTACAGACACATACTACTGTACAGACAGAACGCTCTGAAATCAAGCATGAGCTAGGATCAAAGTCTACATGTGAGAGCTTATAAGAGAAATTCCCCCAGTGTCCACGTCCAGCTATGTTTCTGTATATCTATCGCTTTAGTCCAGTGGGTCTCAAACGTTTTCTATCATGCCATATCATTTCATCAGGAGCCAAAAAAGGTTTATGCCCCCCGCCACATTTCCCTGCATAAATCATGTTCATTTAACTTCACTATACACGGACCCCCTGCAGTGGCTCTACGCTCCCCTAGGAGGGCCCACCTCACAGTTTGAGAACCATTGCTTTTAACTATGTATTAACTAAACTATTGTTTAAATTGTCCACCTATGACACGCGTGCCAGTATTAGATTAGTGTGGTCCCCTTATTACAAGCTAATTTAGTTCAAAAACAAACAAACAGATTACACCAACATGATGAATTACTCACTTCTCTTTGTGCGTCTCGTTGCACCACAAAGGAAATTCTGCATGGTCTCTATTCAGTCATGAGACGGGCTGGATGGTATAAATATGTTTCCTTGAATTGACTGTGTTAACTTACTGTCAAGTTAGCAAGATAAACCACATATAGTCACAAAGCTTATCCAGGATTAAAGACCATAAGAACTGCTGAGATGCGCATTACTGAAATGACACATGAAGGAAATGAAATGAAAATGTACACATCCAGCAAACTGTTGCACTAGCAAATGCACTGGGGTTCAGTGTGGCTGTGGATGAAAGCTGTGGACCTCAACGACATCCCACGTCTTGCAGTCAGTAGACAACACACCCTTCAAAGGCATGTGTGCAGCTGAAGATATCAACACACAGCCCAGACATGAGCAGCAAAGGCAGGGAGAGGGATTCCACTAAGTGGTCAGCATTTTACTTATTTTTCTGTTTTCGGTTCTGTTTATGACAAAAGATTAACTGAGAGAGGAGATCCTGATGAAAGGCCTACAACTCAATGTATTATTATTAGGGCCGTCAGCATTAACGAGTTAATCGCGATGAGTTTAAAGACAGATCATAACGCGTTCTAATTGTGTTAAGCGCATTAATCGCGTGTGTCAAATACTATTTTACACCGTCAATGGTGCTGTTACCAAAGAATCTTTGCTAGAAAGATATACTAATGATGCTACTATTTTGACCCTTCGATGCACCCTTACTTGTTGCCACAGACACTTCCTACCTCCTGCTGCAGCCATGGAGATAAACAACAACACGGGACTGAATGGCGCGTTTTACTTTAAGAAACTCCTAGATGGCACTGTTGACAAGTCAAAAACAGTGTGCACCTTGAGTGAAATGGAATTAAAATATCACCGAAGCACTATTTTGGAGAGTGCAAGTTATATACATTGTCGTCGCGGGGGACAATTGTTGCACGCATACATAGCCTGTATGAAACGGAGAAAGCAGCCAAACTGAAATTCCTACTTAAAGCAAATGCTGTCTCATTGGTTTCAACTGAACTCAAAAATAATGTAACTATGGAGTATTTTCTTTGTTATGCACTTTATAATAACGTTTGTACATTTTGTGCATGCACTTTTGCTGTAGAATTTTTGAAAGCAAGCTTAAGGAAGGCTATATTTCTGAAGACACTGATACTTTTACCTCAGTCTCGTTGCACATCTTTTGATTTGAAATAATCAAATGAATCGAAAAGTCAAGTTCATAAACTAACTTTCTTTGCGTTAATTTGATTTCCAATCAAGATACACTGACAAGAATTGTTTTCATTGTTAATACAGACTTAAAACAGTAAAAAGATATAATATAATAATAATAATAATAATAATAGAACAGAATTTTAATCATGTGATAAAAACACATGATTAACTATTGAAATTCAGCGATTAATCGCGATTAAGAAAAAAATAATTGTTTGACAGCCCTAATTATTATTATAAACAAGGTCAAACTTCCAGTCATAACTGGCCATCTTCATCTTTGTAAATGTACACGCATCAAAGAAAGGGTTGGGGACTCCTGGTCCAGACTCATGGAAACATAGACCTTTAGCTCCCACCCTTAGTTTAATGGTAAAATGTACTTACATTTCTGTTATTTCTGTTTGTATGCTACCACAAACTGTACCAATCAATTTGTTCAATTAATACAGTTTGTTGATCTTAATCACAGTCTATTTTAGCCACTTACTCTTCCGAAGTTACAATACAATATGTATTTCCATACAGGCCTCATGATACAATAATTTCTTGATGTGATTAGAGCTGAAATGAGCCAATTATTCTATCAGTCAATCAACAGAAAAGTTATTGTCAACTAACTTGATAATCTATTAATAGTTAGTTCCATGCTTCTTAAATGTTAAACAGTAAGCTGATTTTTGGTTGGCACTTTAATTATGTCAACTTGGGTTATGCCATTGATCAAAAAAATCTGGAAAAATATTGGCAGTTTAATCAATAAGAAAAATAACTCTTAGTTCCATGTGATGTGATATTCACACAGAATGTAGTGGACAACAGTCAGCATTTGAATTAATTTATGAAATGTCTAATTCAAATCACTATATTCAAATATTAAACAAAAATGTCAAACTTAGAGAAGCTTCTGTTGCAATCTAACATCGCAATGCATAGAAGATGGGTTTGTCTATTTCTGTTATGTTTTTTATGGAATTCCACACAGTAATGTTCCATCTAATGTCTGTTTATGCATATCCTACACTGCTGCAATGACCCACTTTTTAGTTTCATCTGTATGCATCTAGAATATCTCTATTCATCATAGCTGTGATCCTCCTCCTCCTTCTCCAAAAAGAATTACACCTGTTTTTATTACCTGTTGCACTCAGTGAATTGCTGCTTGAATATTAAGCAAGGTATTTCCAATCTTCTGCTACTCTGGCACTAAATATTTTACTAAGCCAGGACGACTAATGGGGAAGCAGCTTCACTGTCTTTGACCCAAGAAGATTTCCACTCAGATGTATGATGCAGTTATAATAAAGAGAGTAGAGGGATTGCATGAATTAGACCTGAGGAAGAAGCTCGGGGTTTGCTGTTGCTGAAGGGCATTGCACGCACTTTGATACGCACGCAAAGAGGGAAATGTGCCCTGTTCCCACTGATGGACAACAGAAGCTGTGGCAGAAGGATGGCATTAAATACCAGCAGGGGATGTAGTGTGATGAAAATGTCAGACCAAAACCAGCAGGCTATGTTCTGTAACATGTTTAATCAAATTACATTACAGTTTGTGTGCATTGCTGTGTGCTCATCAGGGTACGTGTGTCAGGGTGTGTGAGTTTCTGTGACCACTGTGTTCATATACTGTATGCATAAGTATATTTTGTGCCTGGATTTGTCCATATTTATGCATTTATGTGGATTTGTGTTATGGAAGTTGTGAAGCACAAAATCTATTCAATCTGCTCTTAAAGTTATAAAGTGTCCAAGTGAAGAAAGGGAACAACTTTAGGGTAAAAAAAAAAGCACCCCTAATTTTGCATTCAATCATTTTAAAATCTGACTGCACTCTCTTCAGCTGTTTGACAGATTCTGAACACTTACGAATTTAAGAGGGGACTTTGCTACCAACTACTCATTAAAAAGCTTTTACGGGACATTTAGAGTCAATTTATTTAACGGAAACCAAGTAGAGCACACAGGGAAGGAGTCTAATGTTACTTCGAAGACTGGTTCTAACAGGTTCATGATCCAAATTCAGTGTCATCTGAACAGCTCTGGGGGCAACCAAAGAAAACCACGGAGCTTGTTGAAATCTTGTGACACAATAACATTTGCAAGCTCAAAACATCTATTCATCCACAAAAATGTCTGTGTATGCTCAAATCCTGACTTGCAGACTGATTACTACTCAAATTTGTTGCATGCTTGTGTGTGTGTGTGTCTGTGTGTGCGTGTTAGTGGCTTCTACAGTGTTTATGTATGGTTATGCTTGGCCACCTGAGTGTTTGTGCGCATGTGTTTGTGTGCGGAACACACCCAGCCAATACTATGAAGAAGTCCAGGCGGTTCCACGTGTCTCCAAGGTAACACTTCTTGCCAAATATCCCCAGAGCCACCATCTTGATCACCATCTCAATGGCAAAGAACGCAAAGATGAAGTCATCAAAGTCCTGCATAAAGAGACAGACACAGAAAAACACGTTTATATTATTATGTACAGTAAAGGACATACCACACAAAACACATTTTTTGTTAAATTCTGCTCCTCCACAATTTGACCAAGATGGTGCCCAGACATTTTACGTGGTGCTTTGAGCTAAATGACAGAATGCTAACATGCTGATGTTCAGCACATATACGTTTGCCACGTCCTCCTTGTTATTTTATTGCACGTTAGCGTGCTATAATTTGCTAATTAGCGTAAAACATAAAGTACAACTTAGGCAGATGGGAGTGTCATTAGTTTTGCAAGTATTTGATGGTGAACAAAAGTATTGGATGATGGCGCTGGATGAAAGGAGGATCACCAAAGTTTCTACAATTAATCCTGAGGGCAACACAAATGTCTGTACTGAATGTCATGAAAATCCAGCTAATAGAGACATTTCATTCAGACCATTCATGGTGGAGCTTGAGGAAAAGTCCGGGGATCACCATATATATTAGGATACATCATCTGGGAACCACGGATGTCTGCATTAAAAAAGTAGAAATACATTTACTAGATGTGTTTCAAGAAAAGAGAAAAAAGATAACAGCCTTCTTGCAGGTGCAAAGGATTTAGTGTCTTGCTCAAGGACACTTCAGCAAGCCAGATGCTTGCCAACTAAATATGCCTCATGATGGCTTGGCACAACATGAGGCCCACCTTGTTGCCTTAACAGAAACTCAAGTGGCAAATGGCTTCAAAGTAATAACCTGGAACAAGCCGCTCATTTCACTAATCAGTATTCTTGCCCTCATTACTGTCTGTCTGGCTGTCTGACTGAGCTTCAGCTCTCCTAATCATTAGCAGACTGAAGAAGAAAACGGGCGTGAGAATGAGGACGGGAGTTGGAGAGGAATTAAAAAGAAGATGACCTTTATTCTTGAAATCTGAAAGTCAATAAATACATTTTAAAAAGCAGAAGAGAAGGAATTGGAGATGAGAAGGGAAATATCCAGCAGAAAATCTGGAAGGAGATCAAGGCACAGGACACCCACTGATAGATGAGTCATCCAAACATGAACAGAGAAATGTATAAATATATCAAATCCTGTTAGCTCAGTCAGAAGCTAACCTCTCGCTACTCTAAAGTTCACTGAAAGTAAAACGCAGAGGTTCACACAGGAACTGTGTGTGTGTGTGTGTGTGTGGTAGAACCCAAAGTTCTCATCCGTCCCATTGTTGGAGAGCGTACATGTTGCCTGCCTAGAAAGCCCAACAGATTTTACCTGACATAGGGGGTTGCACTTGATATTTCCAGGGCACACAATGTATTAGACAGTTGGTTTCTTTTGCAAACAGCCGCCCCAGGTTAATTCCGTAATACTGACCATACATCACTCCAGATGTTTTACACACCACTCATTTACTCCATAGAGGCAGAAGAGCCTCCGAGCAGATTGTTCAGCAATGCATATTCCCCCAAAAAGAAAAGGCAGGAGAAAAAAAACATTGTGTTAGGTGTTTGATCTAAATTTAATCTGAACTGTATTTCTGCTGGGATCAACTTTTCTATGTGCATGACCAGTGATGCAATGATATGCACGGTCATCATGTAAGCATTACCAGTGTAAATACCATGACATTGTTACAAGTAAAATTTAAGTACCGGGCCACGGTTAAGTCACAGCTTTCTAACTGCTGCACCATTTAAAGGTTAACTTAAAGGGTATTTTTCAACCCTGACCAAATTTTCCTAATTTTTTATGCCTATGTGGCTAATTGGGACACAGTTTTAGGAAACTTCCTATCAATGTCCACTAAATAAATGAAGTCATGGGCTCTAACGACAGCAGTCACATAGACACAAACACATGGGAAAATAGGCTCCAGGTTAAAAAATACCGAAGTTACCCTTAAACATTGTTGATATAATCAGAGGTGTTCAATAAAAGAGAAAATGTTTCCAACTTTAACCTTTTTTTGTGAGATATTGTGCATTTGGATAATTCCATTTACTTCCACTGCAGTTGTTTCAGGAAATTTTGAAGACCTATACATGAACACATTTGTGTGCTTGCAGTGACAAGGGCAGGAGAAATCATTTCAGTGCTGAGCAGATGACAGATGTGTTGATTTTCTCTCAGGTGCATTGAGCTTCATTAAGTAGGCAAAATTCATTGGTCGTTCATGCTGTTCTTCACAGTTCTATGCTAAGCTGTGCAGGTGCCAGAGAAACATGGAGTTGCTAGTGTTGCCTCACAAATGAAATCCTTCAGGCCTTACCATGCAACAGTAAAGCTTCTAGTTGTACTAGAATATATAAGGGCTATATTTCAGGTAGAGGAACATAAAAGAAACGTCACTACCTGTTCAGGTCTAACTTTTAATTTCCAAATGATCTTTGGATAACTGACTGTTGGATTCAGCCTTGCCACGTCCTCCAGGAAGTAACTGCGACCCGCCACTGTTCAGCAAACTCAGCTCATAACTACTGATCAAACCACGAGTTGTTTTTTAACATTTGTTTGTGTTCAGATTAAATAAAGAGGTACAATTAATTAGTGAGCTTTTGGTAGGTGAACTTTGGACAAAGTTGCTCTGTGTATCATCAACTTTAGACTATGAGTCATGTGCTCTAGCAACTGAGCTAAGCAGTGAAACTTAAAACCATTCTGAAATAATCATGAAAAAACGCTCCTGCTGACACGGAGTAAAATAAATATTTGAAACGATGGCTGCTTAGGGCTTCCGTAGATCTTCTTATTTAACCAAATAATTATGTTTCTCAACATGTCCAATTATTCTATTAATACTTCAGAAAAAGGTTTTTGTAGTGTATTTTTTTGCAAGAGCCACGTATGAAGATGACATCCACTGTAAAGTATGTGTGAATGGTTTCTGTCTGCCTCGACATAAAAGCCCTTTTGGACCAACAGGGAAGCACCTTTCCCTTGTTAGCATTCAACTCTTCAAACGATGCTTTGCACATTAGACCTTGCACGATAACAGGGCACATCAACAGTGGGTTGGAAAAATTACCAGAAAGTCCAACATTTGACAGATGTTACAACCCAAGATGCATGACTGAGAGAGAACCAGCATTGTGTGAAACAGAGAATAGCAAAAGTGTTCGCCGCCACGCTGAGCATTAAATGACTGCATTGCTTTCTCCTCTCCATCATTCTATCTCTGTGCTCTTTGTTTAATGAAGGAGCCATTCCTCTGCTGGGGAGTAATTACTCATTTATTTTGCATTAGCTAAAGCCTGCATGTGTGGATAGCTCATAATATAAGAAACTCCTTTAAGACTAAGGGTGATAGGAACAATATCTTTACTGTCACACACGCACACACACACACACACACACACACACTCATACACATCTGCACAGTGATTATGTAACACATGAATGAAGACATACAGTATACACATATACATGGGACCAAGCCTATAGGGGCTCTTGATAAATTGACATTGAGCTGATGTCAGCCAGCTCGACCTTCCCTACTGTCTTCAGTCCAAACATGCACACACACACACACACACACACACACACACACACACAGAGAGGAATACACACTCTATGCATAGCTGAGTTTCAAATTCATCGGAGTCAACAGGATGTGCTGTTGTGAAGCCTTCCCAGGGGAGCTTGCTGGTCTAACAGCACATGGTAATATAACCTTTGCAATCAGGATATTGATTCCCTGAAACTTGATTCTGACGAACATAGATTAGATTCTATATCTAAACATACAGGAAAATCTCTGTAGATACCACAGCCTGAGGTCTCGAAGGTTTCCTGACATCGATGATACCAAGCTGACTATTTACCAAAAATGGAAAATGCGTGTGTGTGTGTGAGTGTGTGTGTGTGTGTGTGTGCATATTGTCACAATGGTTCACTGGCTGTACGTCCATGCGGAGACCAGAGAAGCCTAATACACACGCGCCTGCCTCAGAGGGAATAGACACAAGTGACCTGTGCTGAACGGCTCCCTGCTCACACAATCCCCAACTCCTCCCCCTCCGCTGCTTTCTCTCCTTGAGAAAAGTCTTACAGAGGGACAGAATATTTTAACTCCATTGGAGCATTTTCTGCCACGTTTGGAGTATCTCCAAAGAATAATCAGACTTTCACATTATGTGAAAACAAAACTAAAAAGTTAATTACTTTGTATCATCCAGCCTAATCCCAGTTCAGACAAGCCTCACGAAATTGGCTTTTATTCGGCGTGACAGTCGCAAAAGTGTGAAATAGGCCAACAAATGACGGAACGGAACTTAGAGTGAGTCAAGCCAATCTAAAACTCTTTGAAACAGAGTGGGATGTATCTGAAAAGACACTGTTGGAGCAAAATTAAGTTGTGAATCCAATAATTTAAGGGTTGGTTATGTAATATTAATTTGGCAAACTGAAACCCTTTAATGGGTCTATCACAACTCAGAAAGAAATTCAAAGGTTTTTCATTCAGGGTCTGCATGTGTTGCTACTGCTTATTGTGTAAGGTGGTTCTGCAATGCATCTCTCAGAGATCTTTTGTCAATGAAACAGTGTTGGCAGTACTGTAAAGTCTTTGTCTTTTGATTTTGTGTAGGTGGCAGGTAGCACTGCTCATTCTTTATGCCAAACAAACCAGTTGCTGCTGCCAGAAATGGACAAGCCTTCACTTCCTGTGCACCAGACGATCCTGTAAAAACTTACCAGACGCTAACGGTTTATAACAGCAATTGTAAAAGCTTCTGACATAAACTGTGGCTACAGATTAGTAACTAGTGGCAAAATGTATTAACATATCTGTATATCCAAATGTCGCACAAGATATGCATATATAACAGTGGACATTATGACTTGTCATAGTAGTGAATGTGTTACTAACATATCTACATTAACAATAGATATGTTCCATTCAAGTGTCCCAGTAGGCTATGAGACTATAACCGTGAACCATCATGCACAATTCTACCAAAACTGAAGCAGCTAAATGGAATTCAGCCATCATTAATTGTATTATTTACAC